GTATGAAATATAGGATGTAATACTAGGGGGAAAATGAAATACAAGAGGCAATACATAGGGAGTAAGAAAAATAGGAGGCAATAATGGAAAAATATGTGCATAAAACTGGGAAAATGGGGGTGGTGGGGGAGGGTGGGGTTGGTAGAGTTAATATTAGAGAGATCTTGGGGGAGGGGGGGGGTATAAATGGAGAAGACTGGGGGGGGGGGGGGGGGTAATATTAGAGAAATTAATATGGGGGGGGGGGTGGGGGAGAGGGTAATACAAGAAAATTCCAGGGAATAAATATTTACTGTTTTTCTTTCACACACTCTCACATCTTAAAGTTTTATATCTCACCATACTCTCATATACTTAATTAAGGACCCCTCACACTTGCACACTTCCATTTTTGCTGTCCCCTTACAACATACTTACAGGTGGGTACACACAAAGGTGTGTGCCAGGCTCCAAATGTGTGGATGGTGTCAGGTTAGCAGACAATGTTCCACTGGTGTTTAAAGTCTGCGAGCCCTTACAATCACTCTGTGTAGAGACAGATAAAGTGTAAGTTGTAAGGGTCTATGTAGTGTGTGGAGGTTTATGCAGTGTGTGAGTGTTTATGCAGTGTGTGAGTGTTTATGCAGTGTATGAGTGTTTATGCAGTGTGTGAGTGTTTATGCAGTGTGTCAGTTTGTATATAGTGTTTGTCTATGCAGTGTGTGAGTGTTTATGCAGTGTGTCAGTTTGTATATAGTGTTTGTCTATGCAGTGTGAGAATCTATGTCATGTGTGAGTGTCTCTGTAGTATGTGAGCATCTATGTAGTGTGTGAGCATCTATGTAGTGTGTGAGCATCTATGTAGTGTGTGAGTGTCTATGTAGTGTGTGAGCAACTATGTAGTGTGTGAGTGTCTATGTAGTGTGAGCATCTATGTAGTGTGTGAGCACCTATGTAGTATGTGAGCAACTATGTAGTGTGTGAGCGTCTATGTAGTGTGTGAGTATCTATGTAGTGTGTGCATCTATGTAGTGTGTGAGCAACTATGTAGTGTGTGAGCATCTATGTAGTGTGTGAGCATCTATGTAGTGTGTGAGCATCTATGTAGTGTGTGAGCATCTATGTAGTGTGTGAGCATCTATGTAGTGTGTGAGCATCTATGTAGTGTGTGAGCATCTATGTAGTGTGTGAGCATCTATGTAGTGTGTGAGCATCTATGTAGTGTGTGAGCGTCTATGTAGTGTGTGAGCATCTATGTAGTGTGTGAGCATCTATGTAGTGTGTGAGCATCTATGTAGTGTGTGAGCATCTATGTAGTGTGTGAGTGTCTATGTAGTGTGTGAGCATCTATGTAGTGTGTGAGCATCTATGTAGTGTGTGAGCATCTATGTAGTGTGTGAGTGTCTATGTAGTGTGTGAGCATCTATGTAGTGTGTGAGCATCTATGTAGTGTGTGAGCATCTATGTAGTGTGTGAGCAACTATGTAGTGTGTGAGCATCTATGTAGTGTGTGAGCGTCTATGTAGTGTGTGAGCATCTATGTAGTGTGTGAGTGTCTATGTAGTGTGAGCATCTATGTAGTGTGTGAGCACCTATGTAGTGTGTGAGCAACTATGTAGTGTGTGAGTATCTATGTAGTGTGAGCATCTATGTAGTGTGTGAGCATCTATGTAGTGTGTGAGCAACTATGTAGTGTGTGAGCATCCATGTAGTGTGTGAGTATCTATATAGTGTGTGAGCATCTATGTAGTGTGTGAGTGTCTATGTGGTGTGTGAGCAAATATGTAGTGTGTGAGTGTCTATGTAGTGTGAGCATCTATGTAGTGTGTGAGTATCTATGTAGTGTGTGCATCTATGTAGTGTGTGAGCAACTATGTAGTGTGTGAGCGTCTATGTAGTGTGTGAGTATCTATGTAGTGTGTGCGTATCTATGTAGTGTTTGAGCAACTATGTAGTGTGTGAGCATCCATGTAGTGTTTGAGCAACTATGTAGTGTTTGAGCAACTATGTAGTGTTTGAGCAACTATGTAGTGTGTGAGCGTCTATGTAGTGTGTGAGCATCTATGTAGTGTGTGAGCATCTATGCAGTGTGTGAGCATCTATGCAGTGTGTGAGCATCTATGCAGTGTGTGAGCATCTATGCAGTGTGTGAGCATCTATGCAGTGTGTGAGCATCAATGCAGTGTGTGAGCAACTATGTAGTGTGTGAGCATCTATGTAGTGTGTGAGCATCTATGTAGTGTGAGCATCTATGTAGTGTGTGAGTGTCTATGTAGTGTGTGAGTATCTATGTAGTGTGTGAGTATCTATGTAGTGTGTGAGCATCTATGTAGTGTGTGAGCATCTATGTAGTGTGTGAGCATCCATGTAGTGTGTGAGCATCCATGTAGTGTGTGATTATCTATGTAGTGTGTGAGTATCTATGTAGTGTGTGAGCATCTATGTAGTGTGTGAGCATCTATGCAGTGTGTGAGCATCTATGTAGTGTGTGAGTATCTATGTAGTGTGTGAGTATCTATGTAGTGTGTGAGCATCTATGCAGTGTGTGAGCATCCATGTAGTGTGTGAGTATCTATGTAGTGTGTCAGCATCCATGTAGTGTGTGAGCATCTATGTAGTGTAAGCATCTATGTAGTGTGTGAATGTCTATGTAGTGTGAGCATCTATGTAGTGTGTGAGCATCTATGTAGTGTGTGAGCATCTATGTAGTGTGTGAGCATCTATGCAGTGTGTGAGCATCTATGCAGTGTGTGAGCATCCATGTAGTGTGTGAGCATCTATGTAGTGTGTGAGTATCTTTGTAGTGTGTGAGTATCTATGTAGTGTGTGAGCATCTATGTAGTGTGTGAGCATCTATGCAGCGTGTGAGCATCCATGTAGTGTGTGAGCATCCATGTAGTGTGTGAGTATCTATGTAGTGTGTGAGCATCCATGTAGTGTGTGAGCATCTATGTAGTGTGTGAATGTTTATGTAGTGTGTGAGTGTCTATGTAGTGTGTGAGTGTCTATGTAGTGTGTGAGTGTCTATATAGTGTGTGAGTATTATGTAGTGTGTGAGTGTCTATATAGTGTGTGAGTATCTATGTAGTGTGTGAGTGTCTATGTAGTGTGTGAGTGTCTATGTAGTGTGTGAGTGTCTATGTAGTGTGTGAGTGTCTATGTAGTGTGTGAGTGTCTATATAGTGTGTGAGTATCTATGTAGTGTGTGAGTATCTATGTAGTGTGTGAGTGTCTATATAGTGTGTGAGTGTCTATGTAGTGTGTGAGTGTCTATGTAGTGTGTGAGTATCTATGTAGTGTGTGAGTGTCTATGTAGTGTGTGAGTATCTATGTAGTGTGTGAGTATCTATGTAGTGTGTGAGTGTCTATGTAGTGTGTGAGTATCTATGTAGTGTGTGAGTGTCTATGTAGTGTGTGAGTGTCTATGTAGTGTGTGAGTGTCTATGTTGTGTGTGAGTTTCTATATAGTGTGTGAGTATCTATGTAGTGTGTGAGTATCTATATAGTGTGTGAGTATCTATGTAGTGTGTGAGTGTCTATGTAATGTGTGAGTATCTATGTAGTGTGTGAGTGTCTATGTAGTGTGTGAGTATCTATGTAGTGTGTGAGTATCTATGTAGTGTGTGAGTGTCTATGTAGTGTGTGAGTATCTATGTAGTGTGTGAGTGTCTATATAGTGTGTGAGTATCTATGTAGTGTGTGAGTGTCTATGTAGTGTGTGAGTATCTATGTAGTGTGTGAGTGTCTATGTAGTGTGTGAGTGTCTATGTAGTGTGTGAGTATCTATGTAGTGTGTGAGTGTCTATGTAGTGTGTGAGTATCTATGTAGTGTGTGACTGTCTATATAGTGTGAGCATCTATGCAGTGTGTGAGTGTCTATGTAGTGTGTGAGCATCTATGTAGTGTGTGAGTGTCTATATAGTGTGTGAGCATCTATGCAGTGTGTGAGTGTCTATGTAATTTGTGAGTGTCTATGTAGTATGTGAGTGTCTGTGTAGTCTAGGAGTATTTCTGCAGGTGTGAGTGTATATACAGTGTAGGAGTGTCTATTTAGTGTGTGAGTATTTATGCAGTGTAGGAGTGTCTATGTAGTGTGTGTATGTCTATGTAGTGTTAGAGTGTCTAGGTAGTCTGTGAGTGTCTATGCAGTGTGCGAGTATCTATGCTGTGTAGGTGTGTCTATGCAATGTAAGAGTGTCTATGCAATTTAAGAGTGTCTATAATGTGTAAGGATGCGTCCGTGGCTAAGGCATTGCGAGTCCGACTCGTAAGCCAGCATACCGCGATGAAACCAACTGCAGGCTGCGTGGATTTTTGTCGTGGTATGGGACGTCGCAGGTCGACCCAGTCTAAAATGGGTACCAGGTTGGGCTGTCCTGGGAAAGTAAAGACAGCCGGCGTAATGCTGACCACATTACCCACAGAGTGCTGATGGTCTATAAAAATATGGGACGCTCTGCCCAAATGCCCGATGCGCCAAAAGACGTGAAAAGGGATCTTTACTTTTTTTTACTTACAATGTGTAAGAGTGTCTGAGAGTGTCAGAGAGAGAGAGAGAGAGAGAGAGAGAGAGAGAGAGAGAGAGAGAGAGAGAAAGAGAAAGAAGTACAGACAGAGAATAAAGTATAGAGAGATACAGAAGCAGATGATATCAGAAAGCAAGATAGAAATAATAATATACAGAGGAAGAGAGACAGAGCTACAGACAGAGAGAGAGATACAGACAGAGAGAGATACAGAGATAGATATACAGACAAAAAGACATAAAGATAGATATACAGACAGACATAAATATAGATATATAGTGAGAGAGAGAGAAAGATAAAGACTGCTAAACAGAATCAGATAAAGAGATAAATGAAGAGTGATATACAGCGAGAGAGACATAAAGATAATATACTAGAGAGAGAGAGAGAGAGAGAGAGAGAGAGAGAGAGAGAGAGAGAGAGAGAGAGAGAGAGAGAGAGAGATAAAGATATACAGAGGGAGACAGTCAGAAAGATATATAAAGAGAAACTCAC